TAGATAACACAGTGTGGAGCTGGAGGAACACAGCAGGCCAGACAGCATCAGAGGAGTAGAAAAAGTGATGTTTCGGGTCGGGATCCTTCTTCAGAAATTCAGAAGTGTCCCGAACCGAAACGTTAACTTTCTTGCTCCTCTGATGCTGCCTGGCGTACTGTATGTTCCTCCAGCTCCACAATTTGCAATCTCTTACTCCAGCATCTGCGGCTCTTGATATCTCTGAGTGAAATATTGCATGGAGATGTTGCCGAGAGATGCAGGATGAGAAAAGGGTAGAGATTTTTGTTGGCAGGCGAGAGAGATACACGTCTATGTACATTCAGGACTGCATCATGTTCTTAAATTGTCAAATTGAGTCCTGAAGGCTGTAAGGTAGTAGGTGAACAATGAGGGAGGAGATAGACAGGCAAGCATTAAAACTTTCAGCAATTTCATGGGAAGCTTCCACAGTTGGAGACTGGAGTACTGTGGAGGTGTGAAGTGATGTTGGGGTTGGAGAAGGAGTGCACATCCTCCTTTGATCAGTTCTGAAGAAGAGTCACCGGACCCAAAACTTTAACTCTGATTTCTCTTCACAGATGCTGCCAATCCTGCTGAACATTTCCAGCAATTTCTGGTTCTATTGATGCTGTTGACTCCCACCCCAACATCCTCATGCCAGTTTTTCTATACATCTTTTAAAAAAAAACAGTCAGTGAATTTTCAAATCTTCATTCGAATCCTATAGGCCAATCTCCGGAAAATGGTATTAGAAAATTGAGACGGTTGAACTAGGCCAGCGCAGAAGCAATGGGCCAAATTGCCATTTTTCTTTGCTCTGGATCTCTCTGGCTCTACGTCTGATTCTACGGCACCCAACTCAGTACTTTTATTTTCTCTTGGCTTATCAGTAATTCTTTTGTTTATCCCTCTCTTTCACTCTTCTATTTACTCTTTCAACTCCTCAAACCTGCACCATACCATCAGCACAAGTACACAATTTTCAAGCTGATTTCATTCCATTTTTTAAAAAAGTATAAATTGAATTCTGTGTCCCTCTCTACAGATGCAGCCAAACCTGTTGAATATCTCAATCAGATTCTTTATTTTTGTTGGCTTTTGGGGGTGTGGTTTGTTTGTTTTAGATTTCCACAAGCCGTCACTCTTTGTGTTGTGCTAGATTTTTGCACATTGGTTCAGAGAGGGATGGATGACTCGGTTCGTCCGCGGAATTACTCATACATTAATAGAATGGAAAAGAATTAAGCAACTGGTGAAATCACAAATGTTGGAAATGGGAAATTGCAGACATTTTTCTATGAATTAATCCAAGGTCTGATCTGCAAAGATGTCTAACTCGTGCTCAAACAATGGAATAAATACTCAGAATGCATTCAAGCCTTTTGAATTACTGAAATTACCGTCATGACCTGGAAATTTAAAAGGAAAGCATAACCAGAAAAAAAAATCTAAAACGACAATGAAAGAGTAAAATCAGGATGCAGATGCAGCACATGGAAGTTCTTCAAATCAGCAATGTCTTACCAGACCTTAGGGCTATTCGCAAATTTTATAGAAACAGTGACTGGTTGTTTCAGCCTAATGGTTATAACACCTCATCAAGGAGAGAAATTGAAAAGAAGAGACTTCTATAGTAACCTTCACGGAGCTATCACACGCTGTTGGCATTACTCTGCACTGTAAACCAACTGCTAAGCCAACTGAAATAAACGACCCCTCACATCTATAAGAATGCAAAGGTTTATACTCACGTACGTGGAACACCAATGATTGCTAATATGGTGTAATATATTTTTCTTATATTGTCCATTGATCGATGCACTTTCTGAGTGAAGTCACCTGCCCCCTCGTGACAATCTCTTTGCATTGAACTGACAGTAAAATACGCTGGAGTACTCAAACCAGGATTATCGAGTTTAGCAAGAGGAATCATACTGAAATCCAAACTCTTATTCTTTTCTCACTATCGCCAGACTCTCAGAACACTTTCTTGTTTGAATCACTTCCCCTTGAATTCTGAAGCAACACAGTCCGAGAACATTTAATTAATAGCCAAGGATGTCCGCTGGGACACCAAGTGTGTCAGAAGATTCCAAATGCTGTTTTTACAATTATTGTTATTGTATTGAGTGATTTGAGCAAACAGATGACGAAAGTGCATGAGTAACGGAATATATGAGAAGTTCAATTTAGAAACATACATTCAGATGTGCAACTAGAATTCTAGGGCATACAAAGCT